TAATGCAACTACTCATCTCTAGATTCGCAAAGATAACATCAGTCTTTACGGCCTCCGACTGGGGATGTTAAGCTCCTGCTGGATGCTGTCGTTAGCACTAACATATTTATGTGGGCAGGACAGTATTACCATCAAACTAGGGGTCTAGCAATGGGAAACAGACTGGCACCAATATTGGCAATCGCACTCATGAATGAACTGGAACATCAAGTTATTCTCTCCCTTCCCCCATGATTTATGATCGTTACATCGGCGAAATTTTCTTCCCTACAAATAGCGAACTGCAACTAAAAACTTGTCTGAAAGTCATGAATAATCAGTGCGACTCGATCGGGCTAAATTCCGAACTTCCAAAGGATGGCTGGTTAACCTTTCCGAACTGTCTGGTTGGAATTGAAAATAACAGGTTTGTAACGAGATGGTATCGGAAGCCAACCAATAAAAGAATACTCATTCACCTTCGTTCTTCATACCCACACTACATGAAGGTCAATATAATCAAGCAACTCCAGAATACCGCAAAAAGGATCTCCGCAGCAAATAACAGAAAACCTGAAGCCAAAGATCTAGCGGACCAGATAGCGAGATGGAATGGATACAATCATGGTACGGGCCAGTAAATAACATGAAATCGAAAAACTACAGTGGAACCAAAATCGAGTTAGCTTGAACATACCATACATATCGCAATGGTTCACATGTGATGTTGAAAAGCTTCTTCGAAAAAGCCCTCTCCCTATAAACGTCATCATCACCTAACCCCACATTGAGGATAATCCTGGTGAAGTCTCGACTAGGGTTTGCAAAATCCCGACTTTTTCTAAATCCTGGGGTCGGGATCGAATCTCGGGATCGATTTTCAATCCCAGGATTATCCTGGGATCGCGCAATTTTTGAAACATCGATGCAGGACATGTTCAAACACATTTTTTCGAACCAATTTGTTCATTATTAATCAGAAAGGAGCTAATTTAACAAATTGTTGAGCAAATCCAAGAAACCAACTTATTCAAATTAAAATTAAAATTTCATATTATGATGCTAATGATCATGCCGCAAGGGCATACTGCATTTTCAGAACAAAGGGATCTTGTCATCTCGGATCTAAGTAATAATAGTATATTGTAATAACAGTATATATTGTAATAAGTAATAACAGGATGCATGTGAATATGAAATTGTTGGTTTCCCAAACAATTATTTACAATGCTTCAAGTCCATTTTCTCTCAGTATTAACGTCAGCTGAATTCTACGGTTTCGGAAATTTCGATTTTTTGCGAAAGAAATGCATCGCATGAATTATATCATTACAACTTTGGAAAAACTAAAAGTTCAGTGTTAATCTAAAATGTGAGAAAAAAAAACATCTGCAATGGATTTTCATCCAAACTTTGAGCACAACATATTTGATAATTTCGATCAAACATCATGCAAATGTGCTTGATGTTTAAGCTTAAGATATTTTTGAATGGAACAATTTTGCTCACTTCGGCGATGCATTCTGATTATGAGTAAACTCAGTGAGAATTTATGGACATTTCGATCGGATGAAAATGTTTTCATATAGCGAAGTAAAAAGACTTGCAGTCTTCAGAACATGCACTTGAATTAACAGATGAAATATTGAAGCCGAACAAATCGCCTGAGAGGAAACGGCTCAAATTTTCGTTGAAACTTGTTGCTCTTGGTTCCTATTAGAGAATGTGATTATCTCTGTTAGACTGCATGGAAATACATCCAGATGAGCGTGAAATAAATCAATGAAGAGCCGAATAATCTGTTAAATATACAACAAATGTTACGTAAAGGTTCTTCGAACTGTCGTTGATTTTATCATTCGTTCATCTTGCGTCTACTTACTTACAATTAGCTATTCATCAGCGATACAGGGCAAACAGCAAAGATGATTGCATATGAATGTGATGGGAATGATTAAGGCTTCCTTCAAGACGGTCACACTATCAAAATTCACACAATTTCACCTCTTCTGTCAAAACCCGAGATCCCGGGATTTTTCAAACCTTAAATCCCAGGATCGGGATAAGAACTGAAAACCTGAGTTCCCGTGATCCCGTGTAAACTCTAATCAAATCCTGGACGCACTCTAAGAGTTTCATCGAGCGCTTTTGGAATACTCGAGGAACGGATTATTTGCTGAATTTTCGAGACCGTACTCAAAGAAATCATAAATCCGACAAATTAGTAACAGAAAACTGCCTCAACCAGGGGAGGTACTAAATATTCATGATGAAGCGAAACCTCATCCGCTATTGAAATTGTGCATTATCAATAAACTGAGAATGGGAGCAGATGGAAATATCCGCTCCACGAAACTCAACTGTGGAACCAACAAAATCCTATCATATACTCTGCTTCTACTTTACCCGTTGCAAGTCAAGGATGACGGCTCCACTTTGATCGTGACCTTTCCTTGTTAAAACAACAAACATGACTGCATATGAATGAGCTGGGAATAAATGAGCTGGAAACAAGTAATATGTCACGCTTAAAGATCGGCGTGATCAAATCCCGAAATACCGGAGTACTTGCCGACCCCTGAATACCTCTACACTGTAATGGCGTTGAATATCTTTCCACTATAAAGATATTCAACGTCAAAACTACCGAAATATGCTTCATCGGGTAATTGCACACATGTTAGTTTTCGGCTAAAGTTATAGGTATTGGTGATACGGGCTATTATAAGTTGGAGTAATGGGCTAAAGATGCGAACTAGGAAAAAGCTGATTCTATCGGCGGGACCACTGCACGCGTTGATGATAGTTCTGATCACGTGATAGCTGGTTTCCGTTGGACTTTAAGTGGAGGTGGGGTGTATAAAGCTGGAGAGATGGGATGTTGAGATATTAGGCGTTTTGTAAGGTTCTCAGAGAGGTTTGATTCTTTTTATAATTGATTATTCTTTTATAATTATTAATGTTATTGTTGTCATCATTTTGGTTGCTATTATTATTGTTAGTCACATTGTTGTAAGGATCATAAGAGCTATGAATTCTTGAGCGGTTGATATCTTCGAATTCCGTTCCTAAATGATTATTCTTTTATTACTAGTAATATTTTACTACCATCATTGTTGTCATTATCATTATTGTTACATTATCGTTGATACGATCGATATTTTAATATTATTATTGCATAATGGTTTAATTACCCAAGTTTGAGGATTAAATCAATTAACGAACAAGTGTATAGTCGCTACACGCTTTGTGCCTATAGTAAGCCAGGTATTCTTGATAAATTGTAAAGATTTTTGATAAATTAAATAGATAAATTGTTTTTTTTACTATCGGTGGGTTCACGGTTTGAGAGGTCTGATAAGTGCAGTTTTACAATGTCGCGGTCAAGTGTTTGGGGTAATACTATGAATTCTTCTCCTTTATGCGATACACTGATCCTGATTTGTCCAGAGTTGATCTTTTGTTTCATAGGTTTTGGTGCAATTCGATCCTTGGTTGAGGTTGTTTTTCGTGATTTGTGTCGCGATATTAGATGGTCCAATTGTGATGATAAGTTCATGATGGATGGTTCGTACATGAGGGCCGGAGGTGGGACAGAGACATGAGAGCGGCGGAATGGGGCAGAGGAGTAGAGAGTGTGGTATGAGAGTTTTATAGAGTTTGATTTATCCATACCACTAGACCATCGAAGAGCGTAAGCCTTACAGTGGAAATTGGTTTTAATTTGGGAAGCAATATTATCACTGAGACGAATAGAGGGGGAGAGAGAGGGTCCAAGATTGAGAATGGAAGTTTCGTTCGGGGTAATGGTCATGCATACGATGATGGAGGTTCGTGTGTTGTAGTTGTTGAGGTTGATAGGTTCGATTGTGGGTTTTGGCTGGGAGGCGGTCTTGAAATTTTGATTTTAGCCGTTGTTTGGTTGACTTAGCTAGAACAGTTGAGGAGTGCTTCGGAATCTGTTGTAATTTTGAAAATGTAGAGAATGAGAGGGTTTTTTGATGTCTGCTGCAAATGCTCCTGGCCATATGTAGTCCGGAGTAGACCAAGTATTTGGCTTCGTTTCTTTCCCGGATTCACATTAACTGTTATAGTCTTTTCACGCACATACTTATTCGTTTGTCATTGCATATCAACCTTGACGTATTTGATGATATGAATTTTGGAACTACGGAGTTCTCGATGCATCCGTTGAGAAATATAAGCCGTTGTCTTTGGACGGCTACGCACTGACAGCAACTGATGTATCGTACTGCGAGAAGAAAATTGGGTCGTTCTATACGGAGAGCACGAATGCGATAGGAATTGATTTTTTCTTCTTTTCTAAAGTGCGCGCTTATGATCACGTGTAAAAGAAATCGGAAAGTTACCTGAGATCGACATCACCTTCAGTGCAATAGCTCTCGTCACAAGGAACCAATGTAACTTTCCAATTTCTTTGACATATACTATTATGATTAACTTACTAACATCCAGATATCCTATCCGCATGATATATAAAGCACATCAGTGCTGCGCTTTTCTCAGTGATGAATAAGATGGTTAATTTGAAAGCTCAGTAATACGTACATTACCCTCACAAAAGGCAAACTAAAATTCCAATTACTACTGCAGTTATTACATTGACTGTTAATGATGAAACTAATAATAGTAACAATAACGGTAATATTGTCGCGACGGACCGCGAAAGAGACGATTCGTGGGGGACACCAGAGTGATATATAAATTCAACCTTTAAATGCGTACGTTAGGTGTATATGTGAAAGAGGTACACAGATATCATGCACTATCGATTCGGTTTTGCGTTTCTATCATATGAATACCTTGTGTTTCGAATAACTCAGTGTTATTATGAAATGAACGCCGAAAAATATTCCAGCTAAGGTTATAATGATAATAATTATAATAATGATAGTAACAATAATATTGAGAATAATAATTATTATAGCAGTTGTAATAATAATAATAATAATGATAATAATAATCAGTGTTGAGCAATAGCGCGCTATTCCGCTAGTCCGCTAATAGCGAATAGCGGAATAGCAGAATAGCGATATCGGAAGTTCGAGTGGATAGCGGAATAGCGATAGCGGTAACAGCGCTATCGCTATTCGATAATGGGCTACTTCCGCTATCAGTTCGTCTACAAGTGAATGCATAGTGCAGTGGTCCTCACGTTCGGGTACTCCATTACCCCTTTTGATGATCTGGCAGGCCGCCGCTACCCCCACCCCTCTGACACAAGAACACCATGATGGTTAGGTCTTCTTTTAGACCGTTGTGTTCCTCATTACTGCAGTCGATTATGATTGCATAAAGCGTTATTGTCTACGAAGCGATCACTTCAAACTGATTTAAATGAATCCTCATTCTTTTCAGATGTGTTGTATTCACTCTCATAGCTGTTACATGCGAATATCGTTCTCTTGACGAATATTCCTCATTCACTTCGTCTCATTTCACTTCACAGTTCAAATTAGTTTCTTACCTATTTACTGGATACATTGATGAGTGTTGACAGCCGGAATCAACAATACAACAACGATTATTATTGCTCAACATCGTTCAACAGTCAAATTATCAATTATAGAGTGTATTTGGTAGAATGAGAATTTGACTTTAACTTTTGAGTGAGATGAATGAGAAATTAGCAAAGGAGAACACTTTTAGTGATGAAAGCTATGAGAGCGATCGCAATAGTTCGACAAAGAATGAAAACCCGTTAAAACACCATTCACTGACAAATGGATGTGATTTCAATGAAAAATCTGTTATTACCAATGAAAACCGTGTAAGACCTGCATGAGCTAATGGCACCCAGGAAATAGGATGGCGTTCTATCATAACATAAAACTGGACGGAATACTAATTTGCCGACCCTCTCCATTGCCCCGTTGACACCTTCAAAATATCCAAAAGTGGGTAATTTCACCTCTTATGAGAACCACTGGCATATTCCTTTAATCATTGAGGTATCCAAATTCATATTTGTGCTGCAATACTGCACTAAATTTACATCTACCCAGCCCTTGCGAGCGATTCGAAGAAAAAAACGTCTGCAGTATAAAGCCAATATAAAGCCAATTGTCTGTTCAGATGTTGAGTTTGATTCTGTAGTGTTTAGTTCGAATGTGGAGGTAGATTTTCTAGTGATGGGTTCAGATGTTGTGATTGATTCTGTAGTTGCTGGTTGAGATGTGGAGGTGGATTCTACTTACAGTGGAAGGGGGTTTTTACTCCTATCGTGGTTGAACAGTGCGTTTATAAGTACGTAGCATTTACTGATGCACACATAAACAATGAACAGAACAGAATTATGTATCAAAAATATAAGTGCGATTAAGGTGTGATAAGGGGAGATGATGCTATAAGAATGACGTGGTGTATATTACAAAGTGCAATATGTTTAGATATATTCATAAATAAGATATAATGATTTGATAAAGAATAAATATTACATAACGAAGGTGAATCACAAAATTTTCGTGAATATCTCCATTCACGACACTTCCGAGCCTGAAAACAGTATCACATATCACTATTGTCGAGAGCTTCGTCCTTCTCGATTACCAGTGTCGTGGGTACCACTGATGGACAGTATCTCACTCTCCAAGTTTGACCGCTCGAGTTCTGGCACCGCTGGAAATGCTGAAGACGCTGAAACTGGCTTAGTGATATTGATTGATTCGGTTCGGAATGACGATGGGGATTTCGGCGTGATTGTTTCCTTCGGCAGCATAGTACGATTTTGAGACAGTTCATATAATATCGAACGATGACAACCATTACAATTATCATTACTGCGACTCCCGTAATAAATTTCCAGTGATTTCCGATTTCTTCCAGTTCATTTTCGATAATCTGCACTGTCTTATCGACCGACTGTTCTATTTCGAGAAAAAACAATTCCGTCTCGTCACAGATCGGTTCAATCGTCCCGGAGTGTTTCTCTGCTCTCTGTAATGGTTCTTTCACGAAATCGTTTTGGTGGGTTACCATTTCAATGGCTGCAGAGATTTGCTTTTCAGTGACCATCGGTAAATGTCTTGCATTGAAGATGATATCATCGTGTTCCAATTTGAGTCTTTCTTCTTCCTGCATATTTTGAACATTGCGATGTTGTTCTATTGTATCACATTTTACTATGGTTGAGTTGAATTTCAAGTCGGTTGATCGTGCTTTCACAAATGCGATTCGATTTTTGATTCTCACTGGAAGTTCTGAGTAGCACGTTCCATTGACTTCGTAGGTACTGAAGATTTGGTCTACGTCAATGTTTCGGCGTGGAAATATCTTCATGGTACCCCCCTCATTTTTCGCACTTATATCCGTTCTTGTGAGCAGAATTCGTGCTGCAGTGGTAGGGTCGCTTTGCAAAATCCATTCGATGATATCATGTATGTAATTTCGAGTTTTACAGATGGCTTTCCTCGTTTCCACCATGTCTTGAGTTTCCATAGTCCCCAAGTTATCATACAAATACTGATTTTTCGTATTGATAGGGTCGAATTTCTCGTTTTCAGGGACATTTTGCATGAAAAGTATTTTTTCCGATCTGTCGTGGCTCACTTTCTTTTCATGATGGTCCTCTCGACTGGGCAAAAAATCAACGACTGTGCCGTTTTCCATTAGTTTCGGGCAAATGATGTTGCAGGCTTCAAAATTTGCAGTGGAATTTTCGGAGGGAACCAGCACTGCTTGGATGGCGGGAATCGTGATATGTTGATCGATTATTGCGTCGTAACGACCATGAAACTTGTAATAGCAAAGACTGCGATTGGATGAAGGTGTCCATTTAATAGTTTCTTGTGATGTAATGCATTCTCCTTTTGCGATGTTGCATCCAGCCGTTCTGCTGAAGGCGTCGAATAATTTAAGCTGACCGATTTCAAGGCGATAATTAATTGTAGGTGTCCAACGTGTACCAAAGAATCCAAAGCTGTACGTTGTAGAATTGTTCGATCTCCACGTGTACTTGTCGACCTTTATCAACGATACGTCGTTGAGTTTCTTTTGCATGGTTAGCAAGCGGCAATCACTGACGTTGATACTTCTATACGAAAGTCGATCGTTGTTGACACTATGTTTCCATCGCAAAAATGAATTTGTGCATACTTCTCGTACGATTTTTGTGCAGTATGGTCCGTTAAATTCTGCAAACGATCGAGTGTATACATCGAGAAATCGGCGTTTTGGTTGAAGTCGATCGCTAATGCTACAATTCAAACGTGGAGGGAGTGCTACAAATATACCATGCGAGTTCGATGGACAAATCTGATATGCGGTCGTAAACGAGATGGTGAGTAGTAGTACGAAGAACGATGCTAATCGCGGTATTGTTCGTGAACGTAGTACAAGAGGTGAATTGTCGCATTGGACCGATTGTTCAGGCTCGCTGTGCTTGTCTTGTTTATTTTGTTGATGCTGCGACGTTAGTGTATCCGATTTTGCTTGTATCTCAAGCAGATAGAGGAGACTGATAGGACGGGTGACTTTGCGGGAATTTGCAAGTTGTACTGTTGCCGAACGGATGGTTCCGTCTGAGCTGGGTAGTAGCTGGATAATTCTTCCAAGAGCCCAAGTGGTCCGGGGTTGATGTTCTTCTCGTATAATTACCACTTCATTGAGTACTGGGATTCTGTCTGTTAATAATCGTCCTTGTTTATGTTTTCGTTGGGTACGTTCTCGTAGAACATTAAGATATTGCGTGGACCATTCGTTCCAAAAGGTGTCTAGTTTCGTCAGTAAAGAGCGCTACATCTGAAGAAGCTTTTCTCTCAGGCTTGCATCATCAGTATAGTAGACTGATTCATTGTCAGACTGCGGACCACTTTGCGTGCTATTTTGTGGTCGCAAAAGATCGATCGGTCTTATAATCGTGATGGGTTCTTCAGATACATATGCTAACGGACGGCAGTTCACAAGCGTTTGATTTCGGTTGTAAAGGTTTGCAGTTCGTCGGTGCTGATGAATTTTCGTCCAATGGCCTTCTTCAACGAATTTTTTCTGACACCAATGATTCTTTCATACATTCCTCCTTGCCAAGGAACGTACGCTGGAATAAATTTCCATTCAACGTTGTGCTCCGGAGCATAAGCTTCTCTGATCGGTTGAGAGGCACAAAATAAGTTAGTGCCGTTATCGTATATTATCTCATCTGTTGCTCCATATTAAGTAACAAATCATCGGAAGGCGTTCAAGAACGAGTTTGCGGAGAGACTTTCTGTGACTTCGAGGTGGAGGGCGCGTGTAGTTAAACAAGTGAAGAGTGTGATCCAGCGTTAAACTTTTAAACCATCCGTGTCTTTGACATTGATAGAGCCCATCAGATCGATTCCGACGTGACTAAAGGGGCGAGTTTCAGTGAAGCGACCCTGGGGATAGTTTGGCATCAAGAGAAGTTGGAATGGTGTAGCGGACCATTTGCGGCATACCATGCATGAAAGTAGAATGTTTCTCACGGTAGAGCGCCCTTTAGGGATCCAATATTGTTTGCGAAGCTTCGTGAGAGTGCTGTTATCACCAGAATGACACAACTCTTGATGTGTTTTCATTATTAATAAGCGAGTTTCGAAGCGTTTCCGAGGTAAAAAGCAAAGATTCGATGGCAAACGTCCACCACATCGCCATATTTGCTGTTCATCGAGATGTAATTCCCATTTTTCGATATCGATTTTATCGATGCCGTTTTGTGTTTGACGAAGTAAAACAGTTTCTGCAAATGCGAAGTCGTTTGTTGTAAATGGGGTGTTGGATGAGGATATATTGGACAGCCATGAAGCGTGCGTGGGAGCGAGTTTCTTGATGAAGCGGAGGATGTAAGGTGTGGTTCGACGTAGTTTGCTCCAGCTGTTAAAGCGTTAGGTGTCAATGAAATAAATAGGCGGTGGGGTGATCAATACTTGAGCTGTCAATGATGCGCTGTTGGAAAATTGCTCGTATTTGTCGTCATCATCAATATCTTTGGTATCGCAATAAGCACTTTTGGGCCAGAAAGATTTATCTTGACTTAACCATGCTGGTCCTGACCACCACAAAGTTGCTATTACCAGCTCCACCGGAGTTAAGCCTCGCGTGGCTATATCTGCTGTGTTGTCATGTGATGGTATATATCGTATTTCGAGGTCTTTAATCTCCCGTATTGCTTCAACGCGGTTCTTATGGAAACGTGGTTGTTTGGAAGGATCAGCTTTCGTTCAACATAGAACACACTTAGAATCGGTCCACAAAAACATGAGTGAGGATTCTAAATGCAGTTCCCTCACAACGTATTGTATTAATTTCGCTCCAGTGAATGCTGCTAATAGTTCGAGTTTGAGGATGGTGATCGATTTGATAAGAGCAAGACGACACCTAGTGCAGTTAATTGAGACAGCTGCTTCCGATGCGGAGTCATTTCTGTAGCTGCGAAAGTAAATGAGGGCAGCATGTGCTTTTTGAGAGGCATTGACGAAGCAGTGAAGTTGTATGTTGTTTTCGTTCAAATTTGGAACGATTAATCGTGGTGATTCAAAACTAATGGGAGACCAAGACTGGTAGAAGAGATTCCACTGGTTCTGTAGTGATTCGGGTATGGGATCATCCCAACTAATCTGTTCTTTCCAGAGCTTTTGAAGGAAGAGTTTTGCTTGAAGCGTGATTGGTAATAACATTCCTAACGGATCGAATATGGAAGCGATGAATTGAAGGATTTGTCTTTTCGTTTGGAGCGAATTTGGAATCGGCGGGATTTCCAAGACGAGAGAGTCTGTATGTGGCTTCCACGAAACTCCCAATACTTTTATCAACTGGTTATTGGAAAGAGCGTGATCTGCCTCGGGAATAGCTTCGTTGACTGCGTTTTCATTTGGTAAAAATTCTCGGAGATTCATTTTCGCTATTGCAAATAGCTGCTTTATTTCTTACAAGCGCTGATAATTTCAAGTGTGGTATCGAATGTCATGACCATATTGTCGGCATAAAGATTTGAGAGGATGGCTTTTGCAAGGGCGGAATTTGAATTGTTGAAATGATAGTGAATTACAGCAGCAAGTAAGTGGGGGCTGCTAATTATGCCATATGGTACTCTGGTGAAGCGGTACGTAATTGCGTTCTCAGGGGGTTGATTAATGTCATGAAGCCAGATAAATCGAGGGACATCTCTATGATTTTCATTAAGCCCGATTTACAAAAAGGCTTTTCCACATGAGCAATGAGGACCTTTGCTTTTGATCGAAAGCGAAGTAAGATAGCGAAGATTTGCGGTAGCATGACTGAGCCACGATAAAGTTGGTCATTTAGGGAGAGACCTTTTTTCGATGAAGCGGAAGCGTCATAAACAATTCTAACCTTGGTCGTGGTTTTCTGTGGAGTCAGCACTGGTTGATGCGGCATATAGTAAGTGAGGTTGTCACTTGCCAAATTGTTGTCGACCACTTCTATGATACCACTGTGATGCTGTTCTTTAATGATGTTGCCGTACTGATGTCGTAACTGTGAGCTGTGCTGAAGACGGCGCCAAGTTGATGATACACGAATCCACGCGAAATTGAAATTGTTGGGTAAGAATATGATTTGTTTCCAAGGCCAGGAGACAAAATATCTGCCATCTGGTTCACGACGAATTGTTTGTTGGAATTGTTGCATA